AAATGTCATTTCAGATTTTGTTTTAATATGTATTTTTTTAGTTTAATTCGCCTGTTGCTGTGTTCACAAAAAAACTATGGAGATAAAAAATAAATAAAATTTAAATGGTGAGCAGCAGAAACGTGTATTTAATTTTTTTTTATTTTTTTTACTCATTCATAGTATTAATTTTATTTTGTTATAGAGTTATGTCTTGAATAAATAAGATTGATTTATGGTTTGAGTGAAAATTAATATGATTTATTTACACTGGCTTTTGCTTGGGGGGGGGGGGGGGGGCAGACATTTTCTAGGGCTGGCCCTGGCCACCCCTTAGGGGTGCCATTTCCACACAGCCCCTATCGCGCCTGTGGCCAGAATATTCCACTTGCACCTTCAGACTGGCGGGCTGCTCTGTTGGGACTTAGAAAAAATGGAGCTGCAGTCTGGTTCCAGCACGGTTCCTGCTTCTTTAGATCATGATCACTAGCCTGGCAAGCCAGACTAAATAAATGTATTATTTAGTCTGGCCACGCTCCATTGACGGCTCTCGGTTGTGGGGCGGGTTCTACCGTTGTCTTTCAAATGATCTCCGCATTCCACTGGACAATGAATGTGACATACTCTTGTTTCACTCTGTTGCATCATCCCACCCACCAGGCATATAGAGTGCCCTGATTGGCCCACAAAGCGGATAAAGCTCTGTGATTTGTTCACTTAAGCAGATAGAGCACTATGATTGGCCCACCATTATGGACCAATCACAGCTCTTTATGTGTTTGAAACCCCTCTAGAGAGCTGTGATTGGCTAGCCAGAGTCCTGGTAGGAGCTGCGGAGGTTCCAATGGAGCGTGCCTAGACCAAACTTTGCAAAGCAAGAATTTGGTCTAGTTAAGTGATGAATCGTTCCTGTAGACACTACTGAAGGCTAGGGAGACATTTCAGCGAGGAGACAGGTTTTGCTTGTGGTTCTACTAAACGGACACCAGGGGCTGCTAAAATCAAGCCAAAACTGCCTAGTTTCCCTTTAACAGAACCTTAAACTGAGGAACGGCCTCAAAGAAAACTCAAGAATCAAGCAACTGTTGAAATAAAAGTTCACCTTTGTTCAATATTATTGCCTGTTGGAGGTGTGTGTGTGTGTGTGTGTGTGTGTGTGTGTGTGTGTGTGTGTGTGTGTGTGTGTGTGTGTGTGTGTGTGCAGCAGCCCAATAGGATGCTAAAACAAACCAGTGAAGTCTGTCGTTCCACAGAACTCATAAACAAGTACATTCTTGATTAAATATGACTTTACTGTTGAGAGCTGACCTACGTTGTCCGGCGTAATAAAACATGCTCTTCTGACCCCACAACAGGGATTAACCAAAACACAAGCTGCTTTACTATATAAGGCTGGAGGAAATATGACAATGTTCAGGTAAAACAGCTCCCATAATTAAATGTTTCACACCCAAAAGACCTTACAGAGTTTTAAACTTCATATTCGTTACTCTTATTCTGGAAGGTACACATCCACCCCATCATCTGTTTTATTACAATCACTTTATTAGGGACACAACGCTAGTTGGACCTCCTTTTGCCTTCAGAACTGTGGATCCAACCAGGTGTTTGAATCTCACCTCTTCAATCACCGTGTAGCAGCTACCGCCAGGGGCAAGAAGAAGCTGCAGCGCGTCGTGTGCTCTGCTGAGAAGGTCATTGGCTGCAACCCCCCCTCCATACAGGATCTGTGCACCTCCAGGACATTAAGGCGTGCAGGTCAGATAACAGCTGATCCGTGTCACCCTGGACACAGCCTTTTTGACTCACTCTGATCAGGCAGGAGGAGGTTCCGAATCATTCGGACCAGAACCTCTCGCCACAAGAACAGTTTCTTTGACAATCCTAGACCTGCCCACTCCAGTTGCTTGGTTTCAGTCACATGACCCAGTGTTGAGTTTGCACCTGATCAGTCTTGTATATAGTAGCCGTTATTGCCACTTTGTTATTATTTTATCATGATTATATTCTTACTCCCTATATTTACCCACTGCTTATTTTTATATTACTTTGTTACACCAAGAACCGCAGAAACTTCTTAATGTTGTGATTTCTCGCACATATAGCAATAAAACCCTTCTGATTCTGATTGTAAACATCCCTCAGACGTCCTGGTCCATCCTGACATGACATCACCAGCTCCATCCATGATGAGAAGCTCCCGTTCCACTGCATCCCAAAGCTTCTTAACTGGACTGAGATCTGGTGACTGTGGAGATTGTTGGAGTCCAGTGAGCTCATGATCATGTTCTAGAAACCAGTGAGAGATGGTCCAGTGACCACAGTCCTGCTGGAATTAGCCATCAGAAGATGAGTCTGTGTGGTCATAAAGAGATGGACAAGGTCAGGTAGGCTGAAGCAGATTTCATGTGGCCTAATTAGGGGTCCAGATACAGGGCAGGATGGATTAATGCTTTCATGTTGGTGACACCAATTCTGACCGACAGCTGAAATCTACACTCGTCAGGCCAAGAAAGGTTTTTCCAGTCCCTTCTGGTGCAGTTCCTGTGATCCTGTGTGAACTTCAGCCTCGGTTTCCTGTTCCTAGCAGACAGGAGACTCCTGCAGTCTACCTGGAACCATGTGGTTATTGTAACTGCTATTGTCTTTCTACCATCTAGAACCAGTCAGACTAGCCTCTTCTGACCATCACAAGACATTTTGCCATGTGACTGGCTGGTTAGACATTTGTGAACTGGTGACCCAGGTGTGTGTCAGAATGTACTGGGAGTGTTCTGGGACATGGTTCATCACATGCATGGACGTAATTGGGGGGGGGGGGGGGGGGGGGCATGCCCCCCCCCTTTTTTTCCAAAGTCAAGTTTTGACCCCTGAACTTTTTACCATCCAAAAACATCCATCCATCTTCTGAACCCGCTTAGTCCACGTAGGGTCGCGGGGGGCTGGTGCCTAACTCCAGCAGTCAATGGGCAAGTAGGCGGGGTACACCCTGGACAGAGAGCCAGTCCATCGCAGGACAACACAGAGACACACAGGACAAACAATCAAACACTCACACCTAAGGACAATTTAGACAGACCAATTAACCTGACAGTCATGTTTTTTGGACTGTGGGAGGAAGCCGGAGTACCTGGAGAGAACCCACGCATGCTCAGGGAGAACATGCAAACTCCATGCAGAAAGATCCCAGGCCGGGAAGCAAACCCAGGACCTTCTCGCTGCAAGGCAACAGCTCTAACCACCGCGCCACTGCACAGCTTCATCTAAAAACAATATTACGCTATATTAAATTGACACTGGTTGAGCTCTAGGACCAAGTGGAAAACAATCGTTTGTGTTGAAGCCTGTTTTAGCAACCCCCCCCCCCCCCACCCACCCCCGTGCCCACTTCTAAAGTGAAACTTACGTCGATGATCACACGAGTCAGAACATTTAACACACACTTTTGTAAGGAGAGGATCAGGTGATAAGCTTTAACGACATACATGACGAGTTGGACAAATCTTTAATAAAACCTTTTACAGCTGAAGGACTGGAACATATTAGTAATAACTAATTAATATAAACTGGCCACTTCAATGACATTCATAATTATCACTCATTTACCATTATTTTAAGTTTCATCGCTCTATAATTAAAGTGTTTCATGTAATTTTTCAATAAAATTTGTAGTACAAAATCGGTCCTGGTACAGCCGGTGTTAATTTTTTAGTGACCTTATAAAAGCTACAAGAAGATGAAGAAAGAGGCATCTACACCATAAACATCACATGACATAGACAGTAGAACTTACCCGTCTGATTTTGTGATAAAATGCGTCTTTTAGTTGGGCAAGCACCTTCCTCAGTAGAAATGACTGCACTGTGGGCAAATGGGGATTCGTCCAAAATGGTGGCCAGCCACTGCAGCGCCAGTCCACGGGGCGTCTATGTATATGTGTCTGTGTATCAACGCAACTACTCGTATCAACTTCATTTCGAACCCGTGTTTATTGTTTGCTCTAGCTGGATATTTGGTCACAGGAAACCCAAACTAGAAGTGTTTTTGTCCAAGCAGAGATTTATTAACACTGCGCCCTGAGGACTTCAGCAAAGTGCACTTGGAGAAAGTGTGCTGGGTTCAAGTGCGTAGTACACAAGTGTACAAATAATTGCAGAATTGAGACAGGGAGCATTGCGTCATCGATTGCAACGCGTTCCGGGATGCTGGTCGCTGTGATACCTTTTTCAAAAACCTTTATTAACAACTTTTAAACAAACGGCCAAACAGTTACTTGAAATAAATTTACATTTATTGCTCTTTAAAAGTTTTAGAGCATCAACTTATCACCCTAAAATTAACAAATTTCCTTAGAAAATGCATATTTTGTGAAAAGGAACTTGAGCCTTTTCTTCTGCAGCAATGGCTTGTGGGTAATACCCTTGCCCGAGGTCCGCATCGCTGCAGACTTGGGTGAAGTGCAGATTAAGGGTGCAATGGGGGCGTGGTCACCCTACGCACTCACACTCCTGGCCAGGAATGCGCAATTGAAGGGTGCAAGTGCTAGTATTGGGATTGGGCCAGCGACTCACATGGGTCTGCATCATTTTTACTCCGGCACATGCTAGTGACGCACTGAGCGGCTGGGGTGTGCACACCTTTCACCAGTTTCAAAACTAGGATCTCGGTGGGAAACTGTTGTCTTTAAAATAACAATATACTATTAGGACTTAGAACTTGTGACAAATGAAGCAGCAACTACTGCACACAGTTTAATTGAATGACCTTTGGTCAGTTTTGTTTTTGAAGCCGACAAATTAAGAGGGCCTTCAAGGTGCTAGCAGAGATAATGACTGATACCGATTTCCAGTTCTCGGTCAACTCATACCTGCAGACATCGATTCATTCCTAAATTAACTCAGATAACAATAACTAACAGAATATCGAAAAATTCTGACTAACCTGAGAATTCAAATTCTGTAAAAGTTCCAAATAAAACATCTCTGGGTGAAGGAGTGCTTAGTGAAGGTGAGCCCACAGAGTAAAATATGAGTTTTTATTAAATTGCTACTTGACGATGACACATTCACTGACCGTAAAAATGAACCAGTTTATGAATTTCAGATTGGCTGATTGCAAATTAAGCTTACCTCATTACCCGCCAAACCTTGATGCATCTCTAGATGTAAAGCTTCCCAAGCACCCATGACTTGGACTCCACAAGCCTTTTACACATTTGCCCAAGTCAAATTCAAGCACTTTCAAGGCAAGCATTCAAGGTTTCCCAGCATCTTACAGTGGCGATTACACAAACATAACAAGACAGAGCTGTTTTAAACCCTTCTATTTCTTTTCCCATAACTGGTTTGACTTTCAAGCTCTTTGCTAAAGATTCCTGAACTTTCAAAACTTCAAAAACACCCCAATACATTTTAAGGATTTTCATAGATTTCAAAAATTCCGATTGAATATTAATTCAGAAAAAAAAACACAGTGAAGCAAAGTTTATTTCATTGAAGGTTTTGTGACCCACACTAGTCACAAGCATCTGTGACATAAGCATTGCTCCCGCCTGCAGCAGGAAAACGTCACCATCAAAAGATTTCTAATGAGAATCATCTCTGAAAGACCTGCTGAGTGAATTAATCAGTTCGTCAAGGACCAAGATAGAGGGGAGCGAGAATCCTCCAGAGGCTGAAGTCCACTCGCTCTTGAACACATTTCTAAAGTTAGACGATGTCAGTATTTTTAGAAAATCTTTAAAGTCACAGTGCAACACAAACCCTGAACACACGAGCCCTCCCAATAGCAGTCCAGTCTGAAGACTGGAGTACATCCAACGTTCCTCATGTTCAAAATGAAAACCGACTGGAACGGCACACTGGAATACAGCTAGAACGCTCTCAAAAGAAAAAGATAGAGCATGTGTATATTGCCTTTGATTAAGTGCAAATAATATTCTTTGGGTTGTATCCTATAATGTTTCTTTATTCCTAATCATATCCACCGTGTGCCCTAAAACAACTAAAACAACAACATCATCAGCATACGGTTCAGCTCAGCATCTTCCCCATGTCCATACGGTCCAGTAGAACCAGTTATGATGCAGGCAGGAAGAATTTAAAGTCTGTTTCTATTGAAATGCAGTTTTGGTTTCTACTAGAAGCGTTTGCTGGTTGCATTTCATGTAACAAGTCACCAGATTCAAAAGGTTATATGGTTAAAAAAATAAAATTATGTAAGCAAAAAAAAAAAAAGTTCTGCAAGGCAATTATAAAAACGTGAGTATGACGAGCAAAGGGTCCTCTTTTGTTGTTGCTCAGGTGCATCTCAAGTTTAGTTTTGTGGAAGTCCCCAAATCTTCTTTCTGCTTTATGATGTTTCATCAGCCCTAAATGAAGGGAAAGTGTAGCGTGCCTAAAAGCAAAGAGCTAAAAAAGTTCTTCTTAAAGTGGTCGTCGTCTGTTGGGGACGTGCGGGTGAAAGCGTGACATTCCAGGGTGGGAATCAGGAGCCTCTTGCTTCGGAACTTTCTGCAGGCCAATGGGAACAGAGGCCAGGATTCCCGCTGAAGAGTGGGAAGTATTAGCAGCAGAGACATTAACCACCAGTTCAATTTTCCCCTCCAGTTTGATGAGTCGTGTAAGAATGTCATCTAGCAGCACGGCTATGGTCCTCTTCAGATCTGCTGTTAGACATGAAAGAAAAGACCCACAAAGACAATAAGTACATGTTTGAACGCACCTTCATACATACAAATGTAATGAGATTACATTTTCATACAAGTGTAACTTTACTGATGATGCAGAGGCACTGACAGCAACTTTTTGGGATGTTTGCGATTCCTTTTAATTGAGTTCCCATCTCAGAACTAGAGCTGACATAAAATGTGACCGTGTGTTCACAATAAACCACGTCACTAATAAAAACGTGACTCGTCTCTCAGAGTTACTGTTTGAACCCTTTCTGTCTGATTCTATCAAATAAAAAAGTGTTAAAATGTTTTAAATATCAGCAACACAATTATTTTGTCTTAGTTTTAATTCAACAAGACACACGTAGACTCGAGGGTCATGATGGCAGCTCACAGCAGGAAAGCTATTAAGCCTATAGCAAGCTAACAATAAGTCACATTTTATCTTCCACACAAATATGAGCTGCAGTTCACTTTAAACAGAAATCTTAAAAAAACTTAAACATCTTGATCATAGAGCTGCAACAAACGATTATTTGGATTATCAGTGAATCGGATGGGGTTTCGGCTCGATTAATCGGATTAAACGGGAAAATGAAAAAAATCTAAGGAAACATTTTTTCTCTTCCTTTATTTTAACAACAGAAGATGATTAGAAAACAGTTCAATAGCATGCAAAACAACATGCTATCACATAAACATATCCATAATTAAACTATGATCAGTAATATTTTACATATTTCATTGTGGCTGTGTGAGCGTCCTGTCACAGTGTCCTGACTGATCATGCGCCCTGGCTACTTGGCCAGGGGGATGTCCCTTTGGCTGCCTGGTAAGCGCGCATGACTCTCACCCGGGAGTCTCTGGGGATCGAATCCCACCCGGGCCCTTGTTACTCCACCTTGCCACATCGTTAACATGTTTAGTGGCTACAGAAAATGCTAATAACATTTAATTTCTACAACTAAAAGTGTAATGGTGATAGCTATAATGTACGGTTTAACAATAATCCAATTTAAATTATGTTCACCGACGTTAGTGAATTACATGCTACAGTGGCTTGCCAAAATCCTGCTGCGCTGTGGAGCAGAGCAGACTCGAAGCAGCAACCTGACGGTAGCGGTTCTGCTCCAGAGCGCTGCAGACAGCCAACAATAAACAGAATGGTGGGGACTTTTCTTCCGCTTGTTTAGTTTTGATGTTCTTAGTTTCACAACAACCATCGTGTTTTTTCTAAACCCCACTTGATCGTCAGCCTGCTACTGGCTAGCATTAGCTAATCTGCCCGTAGTTGCACTTTTGATCCCAAACCGTTTCTGTCTTGCTGGTTTCTCGGTTTGCCTCCACAGCACACAATTAGCACATTGTCCGCCAGTAAAAGGCATCTTCCTCACACAATAACAAGCAACTTACCATTGTTCAATAAAGTTCTGGGGGGAAAAGCAACTTGAAAAGATGTTGCACGAGAGCTACAACTAAAGATAGTTTATTGCACAGTTTTTTCATTGCACATGCATCATATTTGTCTCTCTTGTTCTGATCTGCCTCGGTCTGCTCTGCTAAAACATACACATGCACGACACAAAATAGAGTCGCACAACACAACGAATGACGAAATGCGTGGCCAATGCATTTTTTCATAGATTTTTATTGATTTTGTTGATTCGTTGTTGCAGCCCTACTTGATCCTTTTAGATATTATTTAACTTTACAAACCAAACCTTAAAAACCAGCGCAGCAGGACTGCACCGATCACAGTAATCGGTTCATGTTCTGGTTATTTTTATAGAGAAAATGAACAAAAAATGGAAGTCGGTATCAGCCTAGACTCAGTGCATCATTATTTATGTTTTTTGCTTAGATCATTCAAATTGCTACTTTTTATTGGAAGAGTAGACGTGGATAACTGTGGTTTAAAGCAACATGAAAGTTTCCAAGACTTTAAGCTATTACTTTTAAGCTGGTTTCAGTGGTTCTTGAGCGAGAAACTTGATAACTTCACACTGGACAGCACTCTGTAGCCTTCTGCTGACCACAAACGGCACTCAACAGTGGTGTGGTTCAAGCAGGACCCGCTGGAGGGTACAACCTTAATCAGTTAATTCCAGAGGTGGAAAGAGTACTAAAATGTTGTACTTAAGTACGAGTATAATTACTTTCATGAAATTTTACTCAATTACAAGTAAAATTACCTGCCTCAAAATGTACTCAAGTAAAAGTAAAAAGTAGCTTATTTCAAATGTAGTCAGAGTAAAAGTTACTTAATTACTTTTTGGACTGTGCAAGGACGGGCTTTTCTGAATAGTTAAAAAAAGACAATGGGGTATAAATGTCAAAGTGGCCATTTTTTTTAAATTAAATGAACAAATATGCATATTGAAGTACAAAGGCAGTTACACTGCAAACTAGTAACATAAATTAGGTTATAGTCACAAGCCCATGACTTTTCCCTGAATGCTTATTTAGAGCAGCTGATTTTTAAAGTTAGCAGAGTTCATCTTTGGTAGTGGGTTCACTCACTCATTTAAAGATATCGGCCAGAGGCAAAATTTGTTTGAACAGCATATGTAAATGTGTATTAAAACCTCAGATGAAAAAGGTTTTTGGATTTTGACGGCTGGAATTGTAAGAAAATCTGATGTTTGTGACTGGCGCAGGAAAAACAGAAACTAACTTCCGGTCTAAGCCCTGGGCAGCTGGTGACGTTTCACATGGAGCTCTGCTGAAACAGCTGTAGTAAACAACGCCTGGCTCCACTGTTTCTGCGTTAGCGTTATAGCAGAGAACAATGTGTCATCAATCAGATGTAGCTTCTGAAGCCTCTACTAGTCCATCAGATTTGTTTTTTCTCTGGGATACGACGACGAGAACGGATATTAGATTACTGGAGAAGTTCAACCGAACTCCGACCCCGCCAGCTGGATATCACTACCAGAGGTGCAGACATGTTTTAGACCGTTTGACTCAGAAGACCTGCGACCTGATTTGGACATAGAGGAGGATTCTGTTCATCTTCAGAACCAAAATCGGTACAGTTTGTTTACTTTTCTTAAATATTTCATTTCTGTGCTCCACTGGAAACTCTGAGCTGGCAAGTTTTCAGCTGGTTTTAGCTCCATCATGTGTCCCAATATAGTTCAGTAATCTACAGTTTTACTGCTGTGTGTATTTATTGATATAACTCTGGAAAATATTTAACCAACAATTTACCAGAATAAATCTTCCTGATGCTGGAGTAACTCCTTAGCTCAACTCGTTGTTTGCACTAATCCAGGATGTCATGGAGGTTTTAATGTTGAAATATAGAGATCATCTTTTAGATTATATCTGTGTGTGTGTGTGTGTGTGTGTGTGTGTGTGTGTGTGTGTGTGTGAGTGCGTGCGTGTGTGTCGTAGCTTTCCCAAAGGACTTGTTCTTTCCTTACCGGAGCGAACACGGTTAGTTTTGCTGCAGTCATGCTAACGGGACTCATCTAGAGTCCAGAAGTAGCGGTGCGGTTCTAGATGGATTTATAGATGTAGGTTATTATTTTAGATCAGACCTGTTATTTAAAAATGCGTGTAGGACACAGACACATGGCTCGGACCTTGTGCTGCAGCTGTAAACGCAATTTTACGTAATAATTAGGAGCATGAAAGTAAACAAATAACAGTGATTCACAATATTAGCATCAGCAGCTAGCTTGTTTTACGTGCTGGAGTGACGTATGCGAAACACAGTTCTTCACTGTCTGGAGGAGAGGATTTGGATTTTCTGTAATGATTTATGACAAAAGTCCTTAATAAAATAAAAAACTGGACCCAGTACATGTTTATATAGATAATAAAGTGTAGTTCTTTTGCATTTCTACAATTTTAATGCCGAGCCAATACCTTTAACCCTTCACCACTGAAACCAGTTTGTTCATCCCAATCCTCCTAAATAATCCTCCAATCATCCAACTGGAATCCTTAAGGGTCCCGTAACGTACATCCTGTCAGAATAGGCCTTGGGAGCCCAGGTGTTACTAGAACTAACGGTGTCTCCTCACCAGCGTGAGCATCCAAACTGTGAAGGTTGGTCTCCAAACATAAACTTTAAATTTATGCATTTATCTCCTCTTGTAACACTTTAACATGTTTTAAAAGGCTTGTATCATGATAAGTTACACCTCCCAGACCAAAGATATATAAGATAAAACATTATCATAAACACTGCAGAGACATCATTGTTTATTAAATACAAGTTATTTTCCTGAGCCATTACTTCAGCCAAGATATAGGATGCATGGATTTGATGAAGCCATGCTGCCTTATGAAGTCCCACACACACACACGCACACGCACACGCACACACACACACACACACACACACACACACACACACACACACACACACACACACACACACACACACACACACACACACACAGCAGCATGTTAGAATCATGTGAATGACTAATTTAACTACACTGAACTGCTTTTGTAACAATTTAATCTCTTATTCTGGAGTAAAATAAAGAAACAAGCTAAATCGTCACATATCTGTGGCATCAAGAAGCATCTTCTGAGTTCAAACACAGGGATGGAGCACAACGTTTACACCTGAACAGTATCAGGATTAACTCACAGAGACCTGCAGGTCTTCTGTTTTATGAGCAGAGCGCTGATAATCGGCTTCTTAGGAGCGCTAAACGTAATTTTGCCGCTTACGTGCGCGGTAAAGAAACACATTTCAAACACGGAACCGAGTCTGGTTGCCGAACCGAGCAGAATTCTGATGACGTCACACCGGTGCACAAAGGTGCGGGTTCCAACCCACAGGAGAGGAGGGAGAGAGGAGGTAAACAGCGAGTGGATCACAGGGACTGAACTGATGTTTTTGAGCAAAACTGCGGTAAAAATGGCTGTTTGTCCTCATCATAAAGCGTGTAGCCCCTCCCGGTTTAGACGTGGCGCTCATGCAGGTGTCTCTTTCTGTTCCGACGCTGCTACACGTAATATTTTTAATTTATTAAGCCTACAATTTATTTTTACTCAGTAACGGATATGATTTAAAATGTAGCGAATTACAATTCTTTTTTTAAAAACTTAATCAAGTAAAAGTAAAAGTACAGATTTTAAAAACGACTTAAAAAGTATAAATTTACAAAAAAGCTACTCAATTACAGTAACGTGAGTAAATGTAATTCGTTACTTTCCACCTCTGGTTAATTCTTTAAAAAAAACTGAATAGGTAAGAACACTAGAGGGAGGCCTCCACCTGCTTTATGGCAACAGCTGTTTACTATACCGGTAACTAACGTAAAGGCTAGCAGTTAGCTTTATCAGTCTGTAAACATTCAATAAAAATCACAAGAAGAATAATTGAGTTTATTTACTGTCCAACAGTCTGGATGTGCCTTATTTAGCATCAGTTGGCTCTTGTTAGCATTAGCTCATTGCTAGTGCTAGCTACAGCAGGCTGCTGCAGGACTGGTTTTGACAGTAATTCCACTTTCAGCCAGTAGAAGGAAGAAGAGGGGAAGCTTATTTAGTGTCCATTTTAAAATATGAAATTTTAACCCTAACAGTCAAAATCTTTTGTTGAGCCTTTCAAATAAAAAAAACATCCAAACAAAAAAATTAGCCATATAGAGAGACACAAAATATGTGTTGCATCAAATCGGCTCAGTCTTGAAAACTGGTGCATAAATACTTACCATATCCTGCCATGGAAGTTCCTTGTGGACCACCTGGTGCATTCTGGTTCTCCTCCGTCAGGACCTTGACATATCTCCGACTCAACTCCAGAATCTGCTCACGCAACTCAGCGCTGCTTTCGTGGCGAGGCTGCTGTATGGTGTAGCGAAGTAGCATCAATCCCCACGCCAGGCCGAACACCAGCAGCAGTAAACTCAGCTTCTGGGACATGTTCCTCCGCAGCAAGAGTCCACCGAGCATGGTACTGAGGTGCTGATGGGGAGGTAGAGATGCTCGGTGGGAGGCCGAACAACATAGACCTGGTAACCTAACGGCAGCGCCTTAGCAGGGATTTTTCTGTGATCCTTTCACTGACAGAGAGGAGGTCAACATCCGCTACATGATAGATCTAAAAACCTCCTGCACCTTTGTGAGAGGCAAAGAAAGGCTGGGAAACAAGAAAAGCCAGAAGATCTGGCAATCAGAAAAAGTGGTCGACACCCTTAAACACCAGCAGTCAGAAATCTCTGGAATAGTTCATCAGCTGCAAGGTCTCAAACTTCAAATTACCTTTGCAGGGAGAAGGTTCAGGCAGAAGGGCCTCAGGCATTGTAACCTGTGATGGAGAAAGAACACACAAAACACCTTAGAAACAGAAATCAGCTAAAGAAATAAGCTTTGGTCTTCTCAGACAGCCGTGGATGTCCACAACAGAACTTTTTATAGTAAAAGATACACGTGGAAATGTGGTAACAATTAAGAAAACCAGCAAAAGGGATGTAAGGAAATATCAATAAGATGAAATACGGTGACGTATTTTGTTTGTGTAGAATTTACATGCAAACATTTATTGTTATTTCTTTTGTGTGGTCCAATTCAAATTACGAATGGTAGGTGGCCATAGTTTTTACCACCTTCATTCTGACAGAACAAGATCTCACAGTGAGCATAAGCCACGCCCATCTACTTCCAGGCAATGGGCGCTCTACTGCCAAAAGAAATGAATGGTAGACCATGAGCCTTTAGGGCAGGGCTGTTTAATTCTGGTCCAGCAGAGCCGGTATACAGCACGTCTTAGTTTTAACTCTGCTTCAACACACCTGTTTCAATCAGCAGGCGATTAACAGGAATCTGCCGAGCCTGATGAGCTGCTGCTGAATCTAGTGTGCTGGAGCAGAGAAACCACTAAAACGTGCTGGATCTGAAATCACGCATGTGTTGCAATTCTCCAGTGATTTTGTGACCTCACAGGATCAGCTGTGTGGAACGCTTTTGCTCCCGTTCTGCATTAGAAACGTTCCCGGTTGGGAATGAGCTTGTGGATAAAATGCCTCTATTGCAACATGAGCTGCTTTCACGTCAGTGTAAAGAAGGGGTCAGTCAGTGCGGTTACGTGCACACTGACCGACACCTAAGGCGATCCAGGTCGATCTTATGGAACAAGCTGGGAGTCTTTATCCTAGTTTACATGCGCATTAGAAAACCAAACTCTCAAATAAAGTTTGTTCCACTCCAGCACAGTAGGTGGCGACATGCACATTTTCATGTCGGCATTCTTCCGGTTAGCTTATAGCAACACAAGCAGTAAATAGAGGCTGGTGGAAGTGAATCAGACTGAGTTGAAACAGAATATCCACAGTGGCTGAAGGAAATGGACAAAAACAACGCTGCATCACAGCTTATTTGATAAATAATGTCTTCTTTGATGGTACGCGTGTTACTTTGCGGCGATGATGTTATTGGAAGACCACTTCCAAAATTTTGCTCAATTTGAAAATAAGGTCTGCCTCTAATTCTAGCCTCCTTCTAATAAAGGCCTGAACCAAGAAGCACTTGAGTAAATAAAGGCTTGGGCCTGTATTATAGGATTTACAGAATTAAAGGCAAGTGATAAAACCTTTGCCTGTGTGTTCAGTGTATGATTCTGATCTGAACAGGACAGATTTAAACAAAACTCTCCAAAAGCAACAATTAAATGCACGTCTACACACCTAATTAACTTTATAAACGAATCATATTCAAGATGGCCGCCACCACAGACAGTAAACCTTAGCGAACACACATGATTTTTAAGTCAGTTGGACAGGTTGAGAAGGTTAGTGTCATAGTAGGCAAGTCATATCCAACATATCAAAGAGACTTTGAGTTATTTCATGATTATGAGGATTTGGGCCGTTTTATATTTGAATGTACAACAATCCAAAAACCAAAATCTTTCTCTGCTCTCTCAACCCAGAAACCTGATTATTACAAGCTTGGGTTTTATAAGACCCACTTTGCAGCTCTTGCTAGACCAGACCACAGAAAGTCATTGAGGACATTATTTCTCTTATCCCCCCATACAATGAGCACTGAACACAAATACGGCTGCGAGTGCACAGGTCACACACAGACACAATTAGGTGATCATTTCTCAGTTTTCATTTATTTTGTCACCAAGGTCATTCTCTGAAGTCTCAGTGGGTTCGGCTGTGTCTCATCCTATTGGGTTCAAAAAGAGGACGGTGAATGAGTGAATAAATTATGAAACGGATATGGTAACATAACACGAACAGATGCTTTAGAAACAACACAAACGTGTTCTTTCCATGCTCAGAATGTAAAGAGGCTTTAGGGAGTTGGACAAAAAAAACACAAAACAAAAACAGGGAAGTAAATGTAAAAACGACTGGACGAAGGGTGTAGCTGCAGCTAATTTTTACTGGAAAGCACATCATGTGCAGCAAGAGGGGATGCTCCGCTGCATAGTGCATAGCTGAATAGATGAATAAACAAGAGGTTTGTGTTCAACATTAGGTAACTTACAAAATGATCACAAAATCTTAAGTCACAAAAAGCCAGAAAATATAAAAATGATAAAGGTTCATTCAACCGAGAAAACATCTGCAGTTTTAACTTGGGTTGAATTTCTCTGTTAAGGTTTAGCATAAATAACCTGCATGAAGCCCTGAAAGACAAGCTACAAAACAGGTGAACACTAGAAGGTGTAATCACATCAGGGGCACCACATCTACTAAACAGATGCTTCAGGTAAATCATGTTGCTGTTGAAAC